GGTGCTGGGGGAGAGGGAGGCCGCAGGGGGCTCCCCGAGAGGACGGGGGAAGATGCCGAGGGGAGAGGGGCAGAGGAGAGGCTCCCTTAAAGGGGCAGGGGTTTCCCGGGGAGAGACTGTGTGGTTGTGAGGGAGGGCATCCCCCCGGGGTGCTGGGGGAGAGGGAGGCCGCAGGGGGCTCCCCGAGAGGACGGGGGAAGATGCCGAGGGGAGAGGGGCAGAGGAGAGGCTCCCTTAAAGGGGCAGGGGTTTCCCGGGGAGAGACTGTGTGGTTGTGAGGGAGGGCATCGCCCCGGCTGCCGGGGAGCGCCGCGGTGCTGCCGGGCTTCTCCATGGCTCTCTGCCTGCTCCAGGAAGGCCGAGAGAAACGGATGCACAAGGCTGCTTGGGAAAGGGCTGGGCAGGTGGAGTAGGGAATTACCATCTTCTGGAGTCGGGCCTTAAAGCAGTGACTGAGAAGTTTGTCAGTATGAGAGGTTGCTGTGAGCAGCTGCCTTTGCTGTGCTGCATCGAGCCAGGGCTCTCTAGTGTTGCTGCCTTATGTTGAGCTGTCCAGATCTGTAGCCTCTGTGAAGTTCTAAAGGCTTCAGGGAGACTTCTCTGCATAAGGACCAAGATAATTGCAGTCTAAAGATGTGAAAAGCAAATAAAGGCCTGGGGCATCTGGGAGACAAGAAACTTTCCCTTACTGGAAATTTGGGAGCTGTATTTTTGCATCTTTCTGTGTGGAGGAAACTCCTGGCTTTCCAAGTCTGTACAGGAGAGTGCTTATGCTTGCTTTCTCTCCCAGCCATGAGACCATATGATAGTAGACATACTCAATTGCACCCGTGGTTTCTTTCTGTGAGAGCACTCGGTGTTTATTTCCTTTCTGCAGGTAACTAGCCAAGAGCTTGCAGTGGCCTCTGTATACACCAACTCTTGAGTCTATGCTGGGATTTCCGTAGGCTGTTTGTTGTCTTAGGAGAGGTGAGTAGGATTATATTCATGTGTTTCTCTGAGACTTTGTAGCATTTGGCTTTCATAAATGGACTGATATTTAAAGAATCCTCTCATTTCTAACCCTTTCTAGGGATTTGTTTGAAAATGGTAACTTTTGCCTAATCTGATATGAACTGAAGTTTTATGAACCTCAGATGAATTGTATAAGTCTCTTCTGGTGTATTCCTTTAGCTACCTATTGTTTCAGGCTGAGAGTACCCAACTAAGAGTAGATGTGAGCAGGTGCATCTTCTGTGTTTTTATATTTGGATTTGGGTGGGGGATACCTTAATTTGGTAAGTAAATCACTTAGACTGTATTATCCACAAGAACAGATTATTAGTCTGAACATTGAAATATCTGAAGAGATGGAGTTTTTTATAGAGTTAAGGATCTTGTGTAGCTGTTCATGCTGTGAATACACTATGCAATTTTTAATGGTCTCCATGGAACATGAGGGAGGGAGGGGGAGAGCGTAGTTCGGCATCAGGCTGAAAGCCACCTGATATTCTTTTGTTGTAAGAATGAGGTCTTAAAGGGTACAGTTTAGTTATACATCTGATGTGACTAGTAGGAACACAAACTTGTGTCCTAACAGAACTGAAGTCTTTCTGTAACATGTGGCTGATCTTCATGAATATAAATGATCTTCATGGAAAAAAAAAAGAGCACAGAGAGAGGAATTTCTGGTCCAAACCTCTCTGTCCTACTTTTATTTATTTAATGACATGACCAAAGACTTGCTGCTATCATTTCTATTTGCTGATCGTCTGCTGTATGTTAGAAAGTAGAGCTTTTAAGGAGTGACGGATTTTACAGGATATCAGCAGGTGATGTAAGCTGTACCAATAATCCGAAGAAGTTACAGAGCTGGGGACCATCCTAGCACTACAGAGTTGAATTGCATCTGTGTGTGATGTAGGCTCTCTTCCGTGGCACTAAAGTAAAATTAAGTTACTGTTCAATCAAAGAACATCAAACTACTGAAATTGTAAACTATTTAAGCTTCCATATATAGCTGTTAAAAGCTTGTTTGGTAAAAATGAATGCTGATGTTGTCCTTGCTGCTTCCTGGAACCAGTTTCATGCCTCATTCATGCTACTGATGTAATTTAAGGTCACAGTGGACCATGATTTTGGGCATGATTTGTGAGTGCGATTCCAAGCAGCTCCAACTGATTTGAGGTGATGGGAGCTCTCATAAGCACATCTCTTCTGGAAATTCATTTTTTAAAGTGGATGTGCAGAAATTGGTCCTCAGATTCTTCAGCCTTCTGGTGCCTGTGATTTTTTGGGGCCATATGCGGAAGGAAGGGCCAGTTGATGGTTTGTCCTGAGTCGAGAAAAAAGTTTTCTATGCTAAGCTGAGGTGGAGTGGTGTTGCTTGCTAATGCTCCTCTGTGCATATGGCAACACCTTTGGTGCTGGGCAGTGTTACAGCTTCCTTCTTGCTCACTCCATCCCCGTCTCCATCAGTTTGGAGTCATCGGGTGTCTCGAGAGAGAGTCATAGCGCTCTGTTCGATTAACTCTGCAGGCCTCCTGCTAATAGCTAGAATATTTTTGGCCGCACTAGATAAACATGGGTGGGAGGACACAGTCCAACTTCCACTAAAGAAAAATCGGAGGCTTCTGTTACTTAGACAACAGGAGCAGAGGAAACACAGTGCTTTTTGATCTTTAGAATGTGTAGCTGTCCATTACTTGCTAAGGACAGAAAATACGCTGTTTGTGTCTACAGCAAAAAGCAAAAACATTAATCCCGTATGTCAGAATCTGACATTGCAATTTGGAGAGACAGAGAAAATGTACTTGAAAGTCAGGAAGAGAATGGAGTACTCCATAAGATCACTTCTGGATTGTATGAAAAGGGGACTTAATCTAGGAGGCAACACACAACTAGTAATTGTGATACAGCAGTAGAATTTGCCATGAGTGTGGGGAGGGGAGAGGTATCTAGTGGAGGAGGAAGAAGCCTGGGGGGAAAATGAAACAGAGAGATTGGCGTAATTAGCAGGTTAGGGTGGGGGAATGTGAGGAAACAAGTTATGCAGAGCATAGCTGTGGTGAAATACTATTTGAGAACTAATGAAGTTCTGTATAGCACCACCTTGGATTCTGTGGTCCTTCTCTCCCATTGCTGTGGCCCAGGATCACTGCTGTTCTCTATGCTGGCACTCCTGCAGAGCCCATGTAGGTCTGGCAGATGTTAGAAGCCTGGGTTCTGCATCTCGCCTCTAAGGAGGCTATGAGTCACTGTTGGGGCCTGCTTTGCTGGACACCACTGATATTGACTTATGAGCCCTGTGTAAAGACTTGAGGGAAATCTGTAGTTAGTGCTTTTCCTTCTCCTTTGAGGGTGAGAAGCTGGGAGACCTCAAAGGTAAAATCTTACTCTGTAAACACCTGTTTCTATGATTGTATTAATCCTGGTAATTGTGTGCTTTCTTACTGCCTTATTACTACTTGTAACCCATTTTATATGGGATGTCATAGATGTAGCTGTCTCCTGTCTCTCTTCAGATGCATCATTACTAGATGCCATACCAACAGTCATCTGGGTTAAGCTGCAACCAAAATGGCAAAGTACAAGCTTGTTCTCTTAAGACATGGAGAAGGAGCCTGGAACAAGGAGAATCGCTTCTGCAGCTGGGTGGACCAGAAGTTGAGTAGCGATGGGATAAAGGAAGCTAAGAACTGTGGCAAACACCTTAAAGCATTAGGTTTTGAGTTTGACCTTGTCTTTACCTCTGTCCTGAGCCGTTCCATCCAGACTGCATGGCTGATCCTGGAAGAGATGGGCCAAGAGTGGGTCCCCATGCAGAGTTCCTGGCGACTGAATGAACGTCACTATGGTGCATTGATAGGTCTCAACAGAGCAGAAATGGCTCTGAATCATGGAGAAGAGCAAGTGAAAATATGGAGGAGAAGCTACGATGTTACCCCACCTCCCATAACTGAATCTCATCCATACTATGACGAGATTTGCAATGATCGCAGGTATAAATGCAGTGACGTCCCTCAGGATCATCTTCCAAAGGCTGAAAGCTTAAAAGATGTGCTTGATAGACTTCTTCCCTACTGGAATGAAAAGATAGTGCCCGAGCTGAAAAGTGGCAAAATGATCCTCATATCTGCCCATGGCAACAGCAGCAGGGCACTACTCAAACACGTGGAAGGTAAGGGTCCTCTTAGCTTTCCCTGTTCTCCTTACCCGCTTGCAGCTTTACACCTTTCTAACTGAAGTGTGTTAAATGTTGTTTGCACTCTAGCATGCAATGCTTTTGCTCTTTCCAAAGAGAAAGGCTGACCTACTGAAAGAAGAATCTAACTGGGTAATGAGAGAGATAAGGAAGCATTAAATGGATTAATATAGTTCCTCCGTTGAAGAACCAGATATATATATATATATATATTTTCTCCTCTTATTTCTTTATATACCTGTTTTAAACTAGTGTATCCAAACTAACTCCAGAGTTATTCTCAATGGACAGTTTTGACTCTGACTTTCTGCTTCCCCTTCACTTGTTCAGTTGTTTTGTCAGGAGGGTTGAAGACATAATCTGTTCATTAAACAAGCATAGCTCCAACAAAATATAGTGCTTGTCTTGAAGTTATGAAGAAAGTGACTGGTACTGTGGTGGATTATTTCTTTTGAGACTATTTTTGATCGTTCTTTCTTTATAAAAGATGATGTGATGGGAAGCCTTTGTAGAGAGTACTTGCTGAAGTTTATTCATGTGCACTGTCATTTTGCAATATAGAAAATGCCTGTCAGTGAATAGTTAAATGTTGTAGCTTAGCATAGGGTTGTTAATTCATTTGAGACCTAAAAAGGAAGCAAGTGTGCCTTAAGTCATTGCTGTTCCCTCCGCCTGTATTAATGGCAGGGCTTCTAGTTTCAGCCCTCCAGAGCTGGAAGACAAACTATACTAATTTCCTTGTGTCTGTGGGTAGTATTAGTGACTATACTTGAATGCAGACCGCTACAGCTATAATTGCAAGTATGCGCAGACTGTATTTTGCCCACTTTTTTTCATCAGGACATGCTGGAACTCTCAGGACAGCTGATTCTCTCACAGGAGTCAAATGCCCTGGGCATAAGCACATACAAATGGCCTCCAGAACTACAAAGGCAGTGAGTTCTGGGCTACAGGTCACTGCTTAGGTGCAGGAGGAAGACTGGTTTGAGCCAGTTAACCCAATGTAGGCAGGGTGGCTTTTCCAAGTTATATGAGATGATTAAAAATTAAAGGGGGGGTGGGGGGAAAAGGTGTGGAGAAGCCCCAACACCTTCCCCTCCCTGCCAGAAGTGGTGAACTAATATAGAAAGCCATGCTAACAAAACCTCCTGGGGTGGTACACTGTGAGCTGACCAGGGTTTCTATATGAAACCCTGAGCCATGTTGCGTGCAGGAAGAAGCCAAGGCAAAGGTGACAGCATCAGCAACTGGTAAAGGTTATTTTAAAGATAGTATGGCCAGATTCCCTCTTGCATTGGTGCAATTTGGGATTAATTACAGCTGAGGCTCAAGCTGCAGTAACTTCATCCACAGTGTGAGTTAGAGGAGCTGCAAGGCTCTTTGAGACAAGCTGCTAGCTAGGTGTGACTCTTCAGGGATTGCTTGCACTACAACTGTTAATCATAAAGCAAGGTGGCCTATAGCTGTATCATGTGTCTGTACTACACTAGACCTCATCCCTCATAGTGCATATAACAAAATCTGAGGAAGGGCCTGGCAGAAGGTCTAGTTCTATTGAACAAGGATTATCTACCAGCTGCCCCAGCTCCCACATGGGAGCACTTGCCAGGTAGATGATGGCTCTTTTTGCCTCCGAAGTGGTGTAGATCATCTGAATTGCTGCAGAATTGACCTGGAAGGTTGCAGGACCAGAAAGCTTTAAGACTTGATACTGCAACCTGCATTTTTTTTTTCCTCAGAAAGCCCACTTCCATCTATTAGGATATAAAAGGTTCTTTGTCTGTATTACTGATCATGTCTCCCTTTCTCTCCTGAAAGGTTGTGAGCCTTAAGAAATGTAAGCATATGTGATTGTTCTCATACCTTCTAGTTGTAACTTGTAATCTTTGAGGCTATTGCTGGGAAATTTTAAATGGCAGATCAATTTCCATTCAGCAGCCATTCCAGGGTGAAACTTAGCTCAAAGAATGTCTTTTCTGAGAGCCTTCACAGGTTACCCTTAAAGCTGCTATTTCAAAGAGGTAGTTTTTTGAAAATGGGCTTGCAGTTCTCTGAATGTTTTCCCTTGTTATGATTAATTGGTAAAGAATTTGAAATGCTGTGGCCTTATTTTCCACTTGCACACAAAAAAAATCATCAGGGCAGCATAATGTCAGGCTAACAAGGCTTTGATTGTGGGTTTGGATTTTGTTTTTGTTTTTTCAGTGCTCAGACCTCACTAGGGTCTATGAAAACGTCTCCAAGAATTATCACAGTTTCCATGAGAGATGACTTTATTATGAAAAAAGGCAACACCCCAGTAATTTTGCTCAAAAGAGTTTAACACAGTCCTGGCCATCCTTGTCTATGGACTTAAAGATCAGAAACTGTAGCTGCTCTGAGAGCTTGCTCTTCTGTCCTTGTGGATTTGAATAACCCTTCCTCGGAGTATGCTGTTGAAGATCTTGAAACTGCAAGCTTTGGGCTTCCAGTGGGCATGCCTGGCCGACTTCTTAGGAGCTGAGGGAATGACAAGCATGACAGCAGGCTGCACAAAAAGTGCATTCAGTGCAAGTAAGATGCAACTCTGGCATCAAATTTAAGTTTAGCAACTAGGCTTGCCAAGGTTTTTATCACCTGAAGGTGATGCAAAGAATACATGTGGTGATGCTAGGAATCACTGGCGCCACTGAAACTGGTAAAGCAAGAGTTTTCATTCAGTGTTGGTAGGGATGGGAAGGCTCTTTGAAAGTATGAGACTCTTCCTCCTATGGCAGTAGTTTTATTTGCTGAAGGATGCTTCTTGTCATGACTTGGCAACTGTTCTGTGCTGTGCCACACCAACTGGAATGGAGTATGTCATGTAACTCAGGTCTTCACACAGGACATTTTTTTTCTTTTATGATATTGTGTGTCTTTGCACGGAAGGAGCAGTGACATCAAAAGATGAGGAAGGCATCAAAACAATTGAAATCTGTTAGCATCCAGAATGAAACTTAACCAATTATGGAAACATCAGTTCTTAAAATCTGCTAAATAATCATCCTAAACGCATAGGGTCTCTTTACAGGCGATTATCTCAAATCCTTGAAAGTAGGAACAGTTTATTGTCTGATACCATTAGCATAAGAGCTGTGACTAGCTTGTCTTCCTTCTCTTGAAAGGAGTTACTGGATTCCTTCTAGTGATCTAGTACACACCTTTTTTCCCATGTGAGTGGCTGAAGGAATCCTGTGTTGCCATCTGGCCCAGCATATTTCTTCCTTCCCTACCATTTCTTCCTGGGGACTGCCATTAAATGCCTCAGGAGCAGCACCCCTGACCTTTGCAGAGACCTGATTTTATTCCTTCCTCCCTGTATGTTTCCTTCCTGAAATGCTACCTTCCGAGCATGAGTGGTGGTTTCTGAGCAATTGGATAACAAGGCCCAGTAAAACTGGGAGTGGAGGAATTGGTCTCTGAAGAAAGATGCAGGCTTGCTACCTATGGGACTTGGCTGCCTGTGGTCACAGAGCTGGGCCATAGCCCCTGAGCTGCTCTCCCAGGGAGAAGGTGGTGCCTGGGGAGGATTTGATACTGTTCTCTCTAGCTGGTGAGCAAGGAGAGCAGTTGCCCTCATGACTTCTGTTTCTTTGCCTTGTATGATGTTGGTACAGTCATGGTGCCCCATAGTCTGCAGGCTGGCTCCACACATAACAAGGCCTGGTGGGAGCTGTGTTTTGATGACTGCCTAATGAGTTTATTTTGCTGACGTTTGTAGCTTGGCCTCCTTAAGGAAATGCCACTTAGGTAATCGTGTTGTCTAATGGTAGTTGCAGAATTTGGCTTCATGATCTAACATCTTACTGCTTTTGGATTGAAATGGCTTTGCACTCTCCCTTGACCAACATCTGCCCCCTTCCTGCTCTGTCCTTACTTTTCTTAAGCTTGCTGAACCTTCTACAAATGTGCTTGGTCTTGAAACTGATAGTAAACAGCAAGAAAGTGGGTTGCTTTCCATCCATCAGGTTGGATAGTGGAATTGTGGAACTTGGGGAAGGAGGTGGCAGGTTGTGAGGCAGTGCAAAAGGGTTGGAGCTGCAACAGCAAGGCTTCAGGGACAAGCTGTTGGGTACTTCCAAGGTTTCACTGAAGGTGATGTTTGTTAGAGTCCCCTCCCAATAACTTTAAGGCAGGCTGATTTCAGGCATACTTGCATGAAAAAGTTTTAATGATTTTTCTTCCCCCTCCACCTTCTCTATCCCTAGGAAGGCTAACATAGAGGTAAGTGTGTCATGGTGCCCTACCTGAGAGAAAATAACAGAGTAAGCACCTCTGGCCCCATGCTGAAGACTTGAGCCTGTGAGAGGTGCTGTGCCAGAGCTCAGAGCCCAGGTGAGGTGTATGTTGGTAGCTCCTGTGGCTGCATGATCAGAGAACTCCTCATTTGTCCTGAATTGTCACTGAATTCCTGGCTATGGTAATTACAGCGTGGTCTCTGCTCCAGATTGTCCTGGGCCTTTTTCACCCAATGCCCTAGCTAATGCCTAAAGGCAGCAGCACACTTTGTGTCCTTTGGCGTGTTTACTCTTGGACTTGCTGAGGAGTTCAAGATAGACTGCAATTCCCTGTTGCGTGGGAGTAGGAGAGACACAATGATTTAATGTTTTCTTAAACTAGCCCATGATGGGAGGGCCTCAGTAATGTTCATTGTCAAATTCGGGCAACAATCAGAAGCTGCTGACATAATGATGTAGAAGGGAGAAAATCTTGGCAGGCACTGAAGGGTGGAACAGATGTAGATAATCTGCTGCAGCCATGGTAGTAGCCTGTAATCCCTGCTCTCCCCCTTAGAATCAGCACAGTGAGATTAGATGCAGTAAAGATTAATAGCCAGATTCCAGTGCTGTGCCCATTTCCCTCTTTTGTCTTCCCTATTGAAGCTAGGCCCCCTGCCAGCCTGCATGCAGCTACGACCCCATTAAGGAAGAAAGAATTTGGCCCTGAGTGTTTAGCATATTCAACTAAACTTCAGTGTTTTCACTACCCTTGCAAGAAAGATGCAAGGTGCTATCTAGATCTCTATTACAAAGCAACAATTACAGAACAAGCCCATCATACTTAGATTTATGCATGTGATCTTATGTTTTGTTAGATGAATCACCTGGCCTCAGGCGTAGTTGATGTCCAAGGGAGGTGGAGTGTAGTTAGTTTCAATAATTGTTGTGTGTGGTTTTTTTTCTTAAATGTTTTGAGATTGTCTTGTTTGTAAGGATACATGGAAAGAGCCTGTTACGAATAGATAGGAGAGAGGAAGAAGCTTAACCAGCTTTTAGAAGTAGGCTTTAGATGGTCAAAATCAAGTGCAATGGGTTTTGCATTCATAGGGCTTTCTAGAATAGAAATGTTTCAAAGCATTTCACAGCCCTTCAGATAAAGGTGAATGCTTATGCATCCACAGAGATGTATTCTTTATGCAATATATCTGCAAAGACTACACCATAACCATTAAACAAACCAAAAGTCTGTGCCATAAAGAAGTACCAAGTTGCATTGTTTTAGCTGCATCCAGTTCAGTTAATAGAAGCATAGGTTAAGTGGGAAGGAATACTGACTGTGACTCTGAAATATATATATATATATTTTCATTTAGTACTGTGCTATACAGGTCTTTGGTCATGACCACTTTAAAAGCCTGATCCATTCATACAGCTGCTGTTGAGGATCAATGTTTAATAAGTGTTCATGAGATAAAAGGAGCAACTGAGATTTTTGCGGGAAGGAATTTTAACGAGGTGAAATGCAGTTGCCCGGTCAACCTTTTATCTCAGGTCCTGAGGAAGACATCCAGTGCCTCACTAAATGCTATGAGATATCATGGTTATAAGTAGGCAAGATCTTAATTTTAAACCTCCTTGGGGAAAAGCTACTACCCAACAGCACAGTACAGCAGTTCTGAGACCCTTGCTTGGAGGGAAGAGTCGCTTCTGCAACAGTCCTTCCTATTTCTCATTGCACCTTGCACTCCAACATTGAATTGTTGCCCTGGTTTCACCTTTCTTCTCTTAAGAGACAGGATGAGATTGAGACAGGTCAGCTTTGGTGCTGAAGTGCAAGAAAAGGTCATTTGGCTCTAGTTACAGCATGTGAAGTAATTGGATAGCAGGTTTTGCTCACTCTTGCAGTGGTCAGAGTGGAAGATGTGCTCTCTGTAGTTCCCTTCTAGCACTGCTGGGAACGTTCCCTGTGCATTTAGCTTGCAGATGAAGAGCTTGTGTGTCAAGCCTGATAAGCATCTTGCTGAAAAATAGATTTCCCTATGCAAATGCTGCAACAGCGCTGAAATAAACCAACAGGACATTAATGTGTCTCCTCGGGATTTTCTTCTGTCTTCAACTTGCAGTTCCAGCCTTCTGGCTGTGAGGCAATGCACAAAAAATCCTAAGGAGGAAAAGCAAGTTGCAGCAAGCATACCGGCTGCTCTAGCCTTATAAATCTGTACTCTAGTACTGATTACTGACATTGGTGTGGTCATTCTGAGATGGCCAAGTTACTAGTGGTGTTGCATGAGGACACAGATATGAATTGCTGTTATAAAATAAAATTTTAAGAATTCTTGAAATAAGAGTTCAGTCAGCTTTCCTATTAATTTTGCAAACCGAAGTGCTTGAGCACAGTGCTTTTTCTGGTATTTTTTTCTGGCTTGGTATCTTTCCTGTTGACATCTATGTGATTTTAATATTCCAGGAACTTCTTGAAAGCTTTTCTGTGGGTCTTTAATCTTCCCGACTAGAGGAGCTGAATTATGTATCCCTTGTAAGAAGAGATGGCTTTTACCTTTTTTTTTTTTTTTTTTTTTTTTTTTTTAAGCTTGTTTGTTTTTGTTTTAGATGGACAGGCTTAATGTAAGATGAGGTATAAACCTCCTGCAAGAATTTGTCTGTCTTTCCTGCTCTGTGGCCTTCTGAAACTTAGGGCTAATCTCAAAATAAATACTTGGCTTATACCAAGACACAAATAAGTCTCTGCAGAAATTGCTCACTTGTGTGGTCCTGGAGCAGGGGAATGGAGTCTCCCCAGTTTCAGACCACAGAGTTAGCTTAAAGGTTTTGATGCTTACAAGCTAAGTCCTGATAATGAGTCATGATTAGGCAGAGGGGTGGTTTTCTTTTTTTCCTGTTCATGTATTGGCTCTGCTGTTCTACCTAATGTCAAAATAGCTGGAAAATTTACACCTGTTCAGATCCCTCTGTTTTGTCAGCTGCTCCAGAAGATGATTTTTCTCTTGCCCCTTGGTCTAGCTTATCTGTTTGGAAGCTTGATTGCCTTTTTTTTTTTTTTTTTTTTTTTCAATTTGGATTACTTGAAGTTGTCCTGCTAGAAAACAAGAGGCTGTCATCAGACCTCAGTGCTCCCAAAGAGGAAGCAGAGGGGTAAACTATTCCCATGACATTAGCCCAGACTTCTGAGGGAGCGTGCTTTAGGTGTCCCTGCGTATGCAGGGGGGTTGGACTAGATGATCTCTAGAGGTCCCTTCCAACCCTAAGCATTCTATGATTCTATGATTCTATGATTCTATGATTCAGGCCTTGTGTGAAAATCTTACTCAGAGACCATCTTGAAAGTTGCTTAGATGCTTGGAAGCTTGTGTTTTTAGATGTAAGCATGACCAGTAGTTTCTCTGGAATGTTGATTAAATAGTTAATTTTCATCCTTGGGTGCATCTTATTTGGTGAAATGGAAAAATACAGGAAACTGATACAAGTTGAGGAAACTGAAGCTTCTTCCTCCCTTTCTTCTCCCCCCTCTCGCCCCGCCATTTAAAAGCAGAAATAAGTAGTCTTGTAGCCAGTAATTCTGGAGTAGTGACATAGATGTACTAAAACTTACCTCTAAACAAATGTGAGCAGACACTGATTCTCATACTAAGCACTTAAATGCTGCTTTTAAGATGCAGTTTGTATGAAACCCAGATGCAGAGAAAACTTGACTAGAAGATTAACCCTGGTATCTTGAGTCCTCAAAGAATTTGTTTGTATTGGTTACTTAGCAGAGGTTCTTTTCAAGTTGGAATAGCATCTCTAGGCCTGAACCCCCAGAGCTTTGTGTTATGTGAGCATGAACAGCATGAATATGAAGATGTAGAAGATACCTTACGGTCCTAAATCTTCTAATGAAGAAAATATATACTCTCTAGGGCAGAGTGTTTCTTCACTTTTTGGTCCATACATGTGAAGTGAAGAAGGAAGAGAATTTTCACTTTGCTGGGAACTTCTTCCTGTAGCTTTTACTAAACCATTCTTCCAAAGCTGTGGTATTGACAGGAATGGACCATTGGGAGTAGTTGCTGTTGCTGCAGCCTCTGTCAGCAGGTTCTTGTCGGTATGAAAACGGGATAAACTCAGAAATAACGCTGAGCCAGATGGGCAATGAGAAGAGACCTTGCACTAGGTGTAACTCTGTGGGCTTTTGTCTTTGGCAGGTATATCTGATGAGGACATCATGAATGTTACTCTCCCCACTGGAGTGCCCGTACTTCTTGAATTTGATGAGAATCTACACCCTCTGGGCCCTCATCGCTTTCTTGGTGATCAAGAGGCTATCCAAGCTGCGATCAAAAAAGTGGAAGATCAAGGGAAAGTTAAATCAACTGAGAAGTAAAATCCCACTGACTGACAAAGTCCTCCTCTCTAAAGTGTGTGGTAGTTAAGTGATGCTTTGTGTGTGAGTGCTAGGTTGCACTGTGCAGAAGTCTAAATTTCAAGCACTAAATAAGTGGAAGGGACAGTTGTTGAGTCTTGGTCGGTAGATAAACCCCCTTCCTTTCAGAACCGGAATTCAAATCTCAGTGTGAGATATGAATGTTGAGGGGATGGGGGGGTAAAAAGAGAGCAGTTCAGGTAATGGAAGCTTGCAGGGAAGTTTGTCCCAAACCTAGGCTTGAGGGAGGCGCGAAAGGAATAAAGGGATGTGTTCAAGGCGTCTACCCATAATCAGTCCTGACCTGTTGAGGGGAAATGCTTGTACTGCACAACACCAGCTCACTGGACTAATTCAGTCCTAATGTTAAAGGCACTAAACTTTTTCACTGACAACGTGACATCAGGTAGGAGTTACTGCAATGATTCTTGTATTGGCCATGACAGTTTGTGTTATTGACAGTGTTTTCTGCCTTTCAGAATACTTTCACCTGTAAAACTTCCCCTCTCCACTTTATTTTTCAATCTTTCAAGGCTTGCTCATGGTTCACCTGAGAACTTTGAAGAGATATTCAGACCATTGTAGCTGTCTGTGGTGGTCAAAGACAACTTAGTTGTCTTTTAATATGCTGTGCTCCTACTCTAGTTTTCTAGAAGGTACTCTTCTTTCTTTGCTGTCTCTGTGAAACATAGCATGACTGCATTTTGCTGGCTTGTGATAATGGGATTTCACTCAGACTTCACAGACTGAGAACAAAGAGGCTTCCTGCTCAATGTGTAAACTATCACTTAGCCTTTAATGACTGACCTAAATAGCTTTCAGATGGTAAAATAACATGTGCTACAGGCTTGATCATCTCTTAATAAAGCTGTTGAAAGCATTCCCATTAACCTCAGTAAAACTGGACATACAAACTCCCAACACACACACATACACACACACACACAATTCCTGTTACAATGAACAAGAGTTCACTGAAATCTGTTCAGAACAGAGGAATCTGTTCCTGAGTAGCACTACTATGGTGGTCTCTGTATCAGTTTCTTTGGAGGGCAGTAGTAGACATATGTAATGCCTGTAAGGTGTTACTGGCTGCAGCTCCAACAGCCATCATGCTGGCAGCAAAGAATATTCCACTCAAAAGTGTTGTCCTATGAAGGTCTCCTTGCCACTGCAGCAGATTCCAGCCAAGGGCAGCCTTACTTGCAACTTAGGCACTAAGCTTGAGCAGCGTGCACTGTTGTGGAATGTAGTGTGTATTGTGGCTTGCTTTCCTCTTTGTTTACATGCACAAACATCAGGCACTTCCCACTTTTGAAGACTTGGTCTAATTTCACTTGCAAATGTATAGCTATTGTAACCTAAATGCGGAATCTGACCCAGTACCCAAACATGGGAGCATCAGAATTCTGACCTCAGTCGCAAGCATGGCTGGCACTTGCTTATGCAGTATTTCAGAGCTGAATGTGCTCTCAGCATGGCCCAGCTACAGATCCCATGAGAAGTTAATGAGAATTCCCTTAGTATAGCAGAGTGTGGGTTTTTTTTTTTTCTTTTTTCTTTTTTTTCCTCTCCCCTACATCTTTGCAGGGAGCAGCTCTGTAGCTCTCAGAGTACAACAGGATGGCTTCTGTTTTGACAGCATGTTGTGTGTCCAACAATCTCCCTGCTATGTGGAGGGATCCTTTCTAGGTCTGATGCCAGCTCACATTAGAGTAATATATACTCCCTAACAGACCTTTTGCTGCTTGGTAGTTTCCCTTGCATGAGCAATGCCTGGGCTTTTCTTGGTATGGTTTTTGTAGCCTCTCTAGTAGGAACAAAGATATGTTTCTCTTTTAAAACATAAAAGCTGATAGGTTTCCCCTTGTCTTGTACAAGCAAGGATAAATCAAATTTTTATTTCTAAAGAAATTGTCAGCATTCCCATCCCAGCTACTGTAATGTGACACTGATCAGCTTACTGCTTTCTGTTCTTTTTCCACTATTTTCTGTGCATAGAGTAACTTTGAATCTTAGTTGATATTCTATACCTCAGAGTTAGTTTTCTTATTAGCAAATGTCTACCTGCCTGGGCCATAAGGAGGACCACTGTTACTCAGGTGGTTAGTTTCTTTCCCACCCCATCATTGAATAATGTGTGACATTTAGTACTAAGTAAAAATTTGTGGAAAAATCAGTGGGAATGGTGTGTATCAGAATGTGTTGGCTTATAAGCTTTTACAGGCATTGGCTATCAGTGTTCATATTTCTTTGCCATTATGGTATTGCAGTGTAGGACAGCTTCATGGCTAAGGGCTTAAGATGCAGCTGGAGAATACTTGGAAACAAACATAGCTGAGCTGAGAGATACTTCCAAACAGAAAGGGAGGCGAGAACCTTGATGCCTGAGCCCTTCAGGGAAAATGGAAAGGTGAGCAAGTGTAAAAACCTGTTAATATATCTTCCTGCAACTGGATAGATAGCATTGATTGGAAATAGCCTTTCAACAGGAGCAGAGACAGGAGGGAAGGAAAGAATAGCAGTGTGACATTCTCAGGTGGCACTGTTCCTGCAGTTTTTCTTGAAGTAGGAGTGCTGATAGTGTCCCGGTAAGCCAGACTTCGATTGCTTTGGTTGTAACTCCAAAGTGATGACAGAAGAGTTTGTACAGGATTTTATACCTGTGTCTGACAGCAGTATCACCTCACAAGTATCAGTTGGAACCAGCTAGGGATTTCACTGTGCCCTTTAATAGGGTTACTTTAATACTGGCTTCTAAACAGCACTACAATTAAAAGATGGATCTGTCCTGGAGAATAGCAGCCAGGGTTCATCAGTGGTGGCATAAGGACCTGATCTTCAGGGTAAGTTGCATTGCAGGTGGGGGGGCAAATGAGAAGCTTGTGAGTGGCTTTGTAAATCAGCAGTTGGAAAACACTTTTCTTCATGGTTGCAAGTTTGCCTCAAAGTCTTATAAGCTAACAGCATCTCTATGGTTGACGTCATGGATGCGGTTGATTTGGTTTGTTTTTGTATTTGTAAGTTGTATTAGCAATAATAGTTCTGCAATCCTTTTGAAAACCCTTTGTAAATATGGTGGAGCTGCAGGTTCTTTTCAAATCAATAAAGTCACTTGAAATAGAATTTCATTTGGTGTCAGTCTGTCTTCCTTCTACTCCCTTCTGCCTTGTATTTCCTTTCCATGACTGACTGGTAAATAAAACTGACGTTTGGGGTCCCAGAGCTACTATTAAGCTGTCCTTGTTCAGATGTCAGAGCAAACACTGTCCCACTCACGCGAAGAAGCTGGACTGGAAGGAAACACATAACCTGTCCTGTCCGAAACTCCAAGGGCATGTAGTCAGGAACAACACATTGAACATGTTCTGTGTTTAGATCCAGAACTGTAGAACTAAATAAATGCTCACTGTGTTTGGTGTTGTTTCCACCTACCAAATAAGAGATGTTATTGTATGATGGTCTGTCTTAAAACTCGTATATAGCTCAAGGTTGCCCCTCCGCTCCACAATATACTCTGGTGTCAAGAAGAGTTCTGGTTCCAGTGATAAGTATTTTCCCCAGTCTGCTGGGCACTCTGCTTTTGACCTTAATGCAGCAGGTATTGGATGGTAGAATGAAGAGAGGCAGAACATAGACCCGAAAAAGGCAGGACGTTCATGTCAACAAAGGAGGAAGCAAAATGTGGCTCAGAAGAAAAACACCCTGTGGAAACTTGACGTTTTTCGCAAGGCAGCTGTTTGATGGCCATTTGCACACTGGTACTGCACATTTTGGTGCTGGCGGGGTGGTGGTTCTAAGGAGCCATTCTGACCACAAGTCACCTCATATACTTTGCTGTGTCTTAGCTAAATTCTTAGTTGTGTAAGTGTCTCTGGCTCTTCCTGAGTCATGTCCAATATTCCCTGTGCCAGGAAAAGATCATATAAATGGTGGCTTGGCTGAGCCCTGCTTATTCTTTGTGCAGGAAAGGTTCAGCTGCAAGGGGGGGTGTTGTTGCGATCAGCTCAGAGGCTGCACAGCCTGAGGAGTCATAAATGACACTTGGTAAGTGCCTTGCTTGTCTTCTGTGCAAGCCACCACCTCTCCCCTGAGTAGCAAAGCTGGTATGAGGATAGCATTCCTGCTCAGGAAAGCTCTGAGCTACGCTAGGGTATGGACAGATTGCAGAGATTCAAGTCTACTACGAAAAGGCTTGGAGAGAAGGAAACCTCCCACTTGAAACCTGCTCAACCAGGTATTGCTGCCTTTTCCTTCTGTTATGGTGACCAAAGGTTCTGGTGTTGGCCAGTATGAGGAAGAGCTTGACTTCTATCACCAGGTAGAGGAGAGAACTTCATTCTTCTATATGGAAGCTACAGAAATGTGTCTCCTAGCTTGTAGCTTACAAGTAACCTCCCAAGCCTTCTTGGGGCTGTTGCAGCATGTTTTAGCAGAGGTGTTGCCACTACTATATAGTAAGAAGGGAGAGGTGGAAGGGAGCATGGAATCTTGCTCTTAAATTATGCTGGCAAAATGGAGGAGGGCATTGAGTATCAGGCTGTAAACATTGCTGTAAAGTCGAGCTCAGGGCGATAAAGTGGGCCCAGAACCATGTTTGAATGCTGACTTTTTTTTGTAAGGAGAGTTGGAATAACAGTTGGGCATGGTGGCACAGATAGTGCAACCACAATGTCAGGCTCTGCATAGCATTAGTGTCCCTAATGGGACCCATGGACTGGTCACTAGCCTTAGAAATGCTGTGTCTGCCAGAATATGTTTCCTTAACATACCAGTGTTTTCTCTCAACCTGCTTCAGCTTCTCTTTCTCACTATAAACTCAGGTTATTTCTCTGCAATCTGCCTGCCTCTTGCTTAAAAGAAAAAGTACTGCATAGCTACTGGGCAAGAGAAATTCTTTTTTTTTCCTAGAGAAGCTGTGAAAACCTGAAAACCCCAGTGACAGCAATAGCTTAAGTGGACGCTTTGGGTTGTTTTGGGCCTCAGAAGTCCAGTGAGGCAGTTGCCAGTTGCGGAGCCAGCAGAGTTTTGCTGCCACCTTCCTAGTCAGCCATTTTCAGGCATTTGGGGCAAGCAGCACAATGTAATCTCCTGAGGGCCCTGATAACTCCCAGAGCTGTAAGTGGAAGTCTTGGGCTTTTTTTTCAGTTGAAGATTAAAA